CGTTTTTGCATGTTGGTCTTGCTGAGCTCGTTGATAGCCATTGGTTTGTGGTGGGTGAAATGCTCTGGATTTTATATCCATCTCATCTACAAGCAGATGTGGTTGTAATTATTTCCAATCTGGATGTGTGTTATGTTGTTGTCTTGCCCTAATGGCCTGGCTTGCCCCTCTGAGAACACTGTTGTAGAGAAGTAGCAAGAATGTTCATCCCTGCTGTGTTCCGGACATTAAGGCACATTAGTTGGCTTCCTAATGCAACATGAAGCATTTACCTTAGGAAGAGGGAGTTCATTTTGATGCCCTGTTCTGAAGCCTCTAATGCCAGTGATGATGACAGTGAAGGTAGTTCATAGTGCATCATGGCGTAAGTGTGTAGAAGTGCAAGCTGCTCACCTCATGAAGCAGGAATCAAAGTGAGCAGTTAAGCAGGACAGGGTCGCGCAGTCCTCTTTACGAGCATGCTGCTAGTTGCTGAAAGATATCTCCCTGGCATTGCATCCTAAAGGTCCAGTAGGACCACCCTGGAGACCAAGCCTTTAACACATAAGCCTTGGGTGAGGGAGGGAGTATTCAGCATCCAAACAGCATTGGAGGAAGAATTAAATCTTTTATCAATGTGCTGTTAGCAGTGAGCCTTTTGTTTGCATGTTCTTTATCTCAGACCTTTTTCTTGTTTTTTTTTTTTTTTTTTTTTTTTTTGGTAGTTGTATGTTTTTATCATGATGGGAATTTTGCCATTTTTTTTTCTTTTTCTAGTATAATATCAATGTAGTTTTAGCCTTTCTAATAGCGATATGGTTTATTACGCTGATTTTGTTTTTTGGATGTTAAACCAACTATGCATCCCCGAGATAGTGTCCTTGTTCATAATCTGCTGATGGTTCAGCTGGTTCTGGTTCAGTATGCAATGTCCTGCTGAGTGTTTTGCATCTATAATCACAAGGGATATAAGTCTGTATGTAGTTTTCTTTGTCTGGTTTGGACATTAGGGTATACTGGCCATGTAGAACGAGGTGGAAACTGCCACACTCTTCTAGTTTGTAAAGAATTGATGCTTATTCTTCTTGAAATGTTTGGATGAATTCCTGCATGAAGCCACCTTGATTTGGGCTTTCCTTTGCAGAATGTTTCAAAATTCCTAATTATATCTCCTTACTTTAAGTCTAGACTTTCTATTTCATAGCCACATCAGGTTGTGTTACAGAGACTCAGTTTTGAGAGTTTGTATCTTGAGGAGTTGTCTATTTCACCTTCCACTTAACCTGTGATTAAAATAGTCCATTGTTTCTGTAAGGCTGGTGTATAATCTGCTGTCTCTGTATCACAGTTTTCCTTTTATTTCTGATTTTAATAATATTAGAGCTCCTGCTCCCTGTGCCTAGTTTATCTACTAGTTTATAACCTTTGAGGGTTTTTAAAATTATCTTTACTATATTTAATTGTGTGTGGGGGGTGGGGGTATATGCAGGTGAGCACAGATGCCTGAGAAGGCCAGAGGCATTGGATCCCTTACGATAGTTGTGAGCTACCTGACCTTTGCAAGTTCAGTACACGCTCTTAACTGCTGAGCTACCTCTCCAGGTCCCTCATTGATATTTTTAAAGTTCATGAACTGTTCTCTGTTGATTTTATCATTAAGAGTTTATTAATTTTCACTCTTTGTCTCATTTATCCTAGGAAAGGCCTTTAAGGAGGGCTGTATTGTTTATCAGAGTTCAGGTATTGTGGGTAAGAGAGTCTGATATTCTATCTAGATTGCCCAGTAGGTGACTATTCAGCTTATCATTTAGGAATAAATAATTGGCACCGGGTTGGGAGTGATGAAGTCTGTACCTTATTGTCATGTCATGTGGGAAGCATGGTTCCTGGTGATAAACACTGTCTGAAACACAGAAGTTGGTAGGCAGAGAGGAGAGAGTGGTAGCTATCAAACTAGGAGATGCAGAACTTCAACTATAGCTATGTTCTCGAGGATAAGACACACATCTTTAACCTCATCAAGAAGAAATTTAGTCTGTCTTCCTTAAGACACAATTAAACAAATTATATGTTAACTATGGCGCAGCCATATCTAATGGGAACAGCAAAAATCATAAAGCTAATACAGCTGCTTTGACAATGATCCAGCAAAGCTGAGCCGATTGACACAATTGCCATCATGATATCTTTCACTTTTGGTCTTGATCTCCATGTGTTGCATGCTTGGGGTGGGGTTGGGGGTGCTTTAAATATTTGGACAACTTGGGGATATTGTATTGATGGGAAAGTTCTTAGAAATCATTTATGCCTTCTCCAAGAAATACTGCTTCTAAGCTTCCGTAGGAAAGCCCTGACTGAGCACACTACCCCTCCCGCTTTTAGGGAGCTATCTGTACCTGGCCCTACCTGAAGTCTTCCTTACAAGGTTTTTGTGGGCTGGAGGAGTCGGCAGCAGATCAGATTAAAAGCCTCTTCCCACTATGTGTTCAGGTGATTACATTGCATGTAAGATTGGAGAACAGATGGTATGCTCCTCCAGGAAAAGATGCGGCAACAAAGTTAGATTGGCTGTATTTATCTCTGCCCTATGTGAGGGCTCATACAGATGGACAAAGAATGGTATGGATAAATGACAAGACAATCAAGTATTAAGACCCTCTTTCTTAAAAAAAAAAAAAAAAAAGTTAGCTTGTGAAAGGCCATTTGTGGTGTCATATGCTCAAGGAACAAATGAATTCCAGGATTAGACATATTAATAAATTCTACAAATATACAAAATATAAACATAGTATTATGAGAGAAATTGAACTGGAGCAGCTTTGGCCTAATGATTTTCTAGGGCCTAATGACAATTAGTGCTTTGATAATAAACTGCTTGGGATATGATAATCTGCCCAGGCTGGTTTGGAGATTTTGTCTAGCACCCTTGAAACTGCAAGATTCTTAAAAGTTGGATTATGGGGTTGGTGAGGGAAGATAATTGTAAAAGATAACTGTTCTGTCATAGTTTATCAATGATGACTAAACATGTGACCAAGAGGAAGTTAAAACACATGTCCGGGGACAAAAATAATAGGGTCTGTTTTGGAATGGCACGAATCTTTCCCTGACTACTGAATTCTGTATAAATAAAGAAGCACCCTGACTGGCAGTCTGACAGGCTGCAAGAGTCCCCTGACCCCCATGCCTGACTCACTTCTCACTCGTGCTCTGAGGGACCTGGCCAACCCCGGGGCTGGCTCCCGGCATAACTGGGTCTCACTATATAGCCGCTGGCTGGCATAGAGGTCACCATAGAGATCTGCCTACGTCCGCCTCCACAAAGCTGGGCCTAAGGGCATGCTTCTCCACATCTGGGAGGAGCTAGCTTTTATATTATGATTGTAGTACTGGGCCAAAATACAAAGAATTAACCTAATTCAATATTCTGCAAGTTGTCATTGGGAAAGAACTTGTCTGGGAACCTACAGTTGCAATGTGAAGCCAATGCTGTTTCCCTGCAGCATATTAAGACCAAAGTGTCTGCTACCACAGCTGCGTACCTGGCTACATGCCTCCTGTGGCCAGGGTTGTAAACGCTTCATTCGCTGTCCTTTCCGGATGATTGTTCTGTGACACCAAAGCTGATCACTATATTTGAAAACTGCTACCTGAGATTTTTTAATTCTATTTTCTGTTGTGGATGTAAACATGGTTTTGTTTTGGTCCCAGGTGTGGGATGAAGGACTGATTCAGATGGTCCACAGCAGATGACTATTTGCCTCATGGGGGCTCTGAGAGGAGCTCTTTGCCAGCTGCAGATAGTTTAAATCTTAGGACTCTAAAGAGAGAATAAATGCCAGAGCCCAGACAGTGAGGAGTCGGGAGGAAGAACACAGCTGCTCCTGCCTCCCCCTTGCTGCTCCTGGTTGCTGTTGTGAGACAAGAAGTTGGAGACTTCCTGAAATGAGGATTTGATGGCTTCAAGGAACCCCATGACCCTAGCCAGCAGGAAGCAGTTAAGAAAGAACTGAGCCTCCTCTCCCACTAACCCTTTCTCCCTCTACATAGTGTTGGGGTGTTGGAAGGGATTGGGGTGGAATAGGGAGAAAAAGATAAATGTAAATAAAAGAGTTTTTAAAAAGTATGGCAACAATTTTCATTTCATTTTTAACAGCCATTTTCTATTGATTCATTTCAGCTTGGGTTCAACCTAATCCTTCATATGAGATCACTCTTCATTTGTCATATGTCATACTTCACATGATAGGGCTTAACCATATTTCCTTTTCTTGATTTCAACCTCAGTTCCTCTGCAGACGTTAGGCTGTGCTATAAACAGTGCACTCAACGTATGAACAGTACTTTGGATTCTACCAAAAAAGGGGGGGGAGAGGGATATGGAGCTTCAGTTGGGGTCATGTGACTGCCATGTGTTTATAACGTGACCATGTGTACACTGGGTGCGACCATGTAAAAAATGAATGTGGCTTTACAGAGCTTTGCTGAGACTATTGGTGTAGCTTTTGAAAGATCCCACAGTTCATGATTGCATCTTAACACCCCTGGGTTAGGAACTACCTTGGTCCCCTAATGTGAACACAGAGTTGGATTTGAAGGTGCCGCTGTGTGCACGTGTTCATGGCCCTTTCTAGTACATTTACAAGCATATTCTGTAGGTTCTTTGGTGTAACGACCTTCAGTGCCACAGGCGGGGAGGCCGGCTGGCAGGAGGTCAGTTGCATACCGCTTTATGAGTTCCACTTTATGAGCTGGAATTCCAACCCAGATCTGACTTCACACCTCACTCTCACTCAGCCACAGTGATTGTCAAGTGGATGGAGACACTGTCCTCCTTTCGGAAACTGCGGATGTAAACACTGACGAGCACTCGGGCTGGGACACTGAATCACAGTCAATGCACCAGAAATGCAGGTCTTTTCTTTATTTTATTTTGGCTTTTTAAAATCACTGTTTATTCCATTTGGTAGAGGATTTTTTTTCCATACAAATATTTGCAACAATTTTGAATTCCCCAAAACCATACATAGACGATAAATACCATGCTATTAAAGTATTAAATTTGTACAAAAATACTTTACAGTTTAATACTTGTTTGTTACAAACAAAAATACATATTTAAGTGACTCATGATCTTTTTATTTTTTTTTTTCCTTAACGTGATTCTGTTCTATACTTTCTTGCCCTGGCAGTTCTGAAATGTGTTTGGAATCATGTATTTCTTTGCACAAAAAAGAAAGATGAATCATTTCCCTTAAACAAAGGACACAGTGTTTGGATATTTTGCCTGTGTGGGTATGTGTGTGTATTAGTGACCAAAATGAACATGTTTGGAAAATAATTGTTTCAACATTCTACCATCAATATACAGATCTATTTTTTTTAATATTTACCAAATAACAGTTATTAGTGTAGCTATTCAAAATATCTGAACAAATGAAAACAGTTGCCAACAAACATTTAAAGCAACTGTCACAGTTTATTGCTTTGGGGGGGTCATGATTGGCAATGAGTTTTGTGGGAATGTATTTACAAGTTCGGCAAGTGGCGTGGCTCAGAACAAAAGGTGTCATTGAGTACATGTGCTGTATGCCCCTCAGTGTACCAGTCTGCGGACATCTGAGCTGGATGAGGTCTGTTTGCCTACCCATAGTGTGAACCTCATTTCATTAGACTCTTCTTTCATTCTTAAATTCTTACTCTTGGATTTTAAAAATAGGATCATATCACTAATTCCCAGTGTTACTACATACTCTAGTTCATTATCAGAGATTTTCAGCTATTTAAAAAAAAAAAGTGTCCCTGAAAAACAAAACAAAACAAAACAAAAAAAACAGGTCACAAGACATATCCTGTTTGATCATTTGTTGCATAGGGAATAGCATACATCTTAGTTAAAATCATTCCTATAGTTGGGCAAAACATTTACCACCACCTATTATGGTCTCCTACGTGCATTGTTGCTGAAACATTTTAAGAAAAACCTAGTGTTATACCTGTGCCCCTCCCACTGCGGCAGGCCTAGTGCTTCACCCATCCTAGCTCGCTAGCAGAGCCAGCTTTATGTAAATCCATGTTGCTTGTGTTTTTATGCTAGTGAGAAACTTACTTCATTCAGGAAGTCATCAGAGAGAATATTTTCAAACAGATGTTTCCCTCTGTAGAGAGTGACAGTAAGGTGAATTGTAAAAAAAACTTCCTCTGATCTTAACTGTGGGAAGGGGTGGGCTGCCTTCCTCCTTATTCTCCACCGTTGGGCCAGGCAGAGAATGACCTGACACTTACTGGAGTGCTCATTGTAAAAGAAACCTCTTCAAGTTTGGGAAGGGATATGAACATGAGCCATGAGGGAGAGTTAAAAGACGCCTGTGCTTGCAGTTAATGCCACGTGACTCTCTGTGCTTCACCTGTCACAGAAATCTTAAAGGGTTTTTTGTTTGTTTGTTTGTTTGTTTAGCACCATGTAGATATCGTCTTTTGTCCTGTTTTATAAAAGTACTGCTATAATGTATTAGTGGGTTCTCGTGTCTCTAGATTACCGCCATGGCTGGGCTGCTGGAAGAAAGCACTATTCTGTTCACTCCAGTCTCCTGGCAGAGCCTGCTGTTCTATTGACTTCTGGGAGGCCAGCGGGTTTCTGCTAATAACCAGGTCCAGCTTGTTGCCAGATTCGGCTATGAGCGGCACGGCCAGGCAGCAGTCAAAGTCTCTCGTCCGGACGTGATTAACCTGCCAGGCCAAGAAGAGCCATTTTCAGTGACTGTTGCAGCCACTGCCTCCAAACCCAGAGGCAAAGTGTTTACTCCTGAAGGTGGACCACGCAGAGGGCATCCCCTCCCCCTTAGTTTGACCACACAGTGACAAGGCTACTGCCTCACTAGTCACAAGACATAGCCTCCTGACCCCACAGCAAGAAGCACCTCTCGAAAAGTCTCCTGTTGCTGAATGCTACACCAGTTTACAGCTGAAGAGAACCAAGCTGAGAGTGGTGAACTGCTTTGCTTTAAACTAGCAGTAGGAAGGGGTTTCCTAAGGATGCGTTCCAGGCAATCTGGCTACTATGATGCTGAGGTTCCCTCGATTAAGAGTGAACCCACACCCCCTCCCCAACTTATTCATGCCCTGTACACTCCAATTCTCTTTCAACACTTTTTTTTTCTAGCCCAACAGCAACACTTGTCAAAATCATATGCATTCACTTTCCAGTCCTGACTTCCCATCCTCGCTCCCATCTTCTGAGGACAAATGCTGGGCACTTAGATGGACCCAGTTTTAGACTCCAGGTGTCGCAGAGTCCTCGGCTTCCTTGGTTGTTAGCAGTTTTATTTCCTTAGCTCTCCTTTCCTGACGTCGTGAACAATGGCAGAGCTTGCTGCCCAGGCCTGAGGATAACATTACACCCTTGTCTCAAGATGCTGGCTAGAGAGAGACACTTAGAGGCTTTTCCTTGGCGGCTTCCTGCTTGTCCTGTTCCTTTGATGGACCACTCAGACATTTGCCCCCAAACTTCCAGGCTCCTGGTACAAGCTGCTAGCTGCTACCTCCTCTCTCTTCTTTAACTCTTCCTTTCCTGTCTGTGTGACTCAGGGACAGAGGACTGCCCTGCAGGCTCGTGGTGCTTTCCCTGATCAGGATCTGTACATGAGCAACACCGAACTGGTGCAGAAGGGCATTACACTTGCACTTTTCTGTCTGAAGACCCAGGGACTGCCCCCAGGTTTGGCTTCCTCCCAGGGTGGTGGGGGAACTCAGGCATGGACTCTGAGAGCCATGGACATAGGCAGCATAAACCGGACTAGAGCCATCAGGGCCTCTTATATAAATATATGTCCCACATGGGGACCCCCAATTACTGAGACAACTCAAGAGAACCCCTCTTTAAACTGCTCTCCAGGTCAAAGGCCCAACTCCCTTTTGCTGCCCACTAGCCCAGGCTTGCTGCTTCCAGGCCCAATTAATCTGGGGCCCTCAAACTTTGTTTCTCACGACACACCCTGCTTCACTCTGCTTTGGTCCTGTGTCGCAGCATTTCTCAACCTGTGAGTTGTGACCCCTTTGGGGGTCGAATGACCCTTTCACAGGGGTCTCCTAAGCCCGTCTGAAAGCACAAATATTTACATTATGATTCATAACAGCAACAAAATTGCAGTTACGGAGTGGCAGCAAAAAATGTTTTTATGGTTGAGAGTTGCCACACAGGAGAAACAGTATTAAAGGATGGCAGCCCGAGGAAGGCCAAGATCTACTGTTCAACTGTTTTCATTTCATGCTTCCTAGTGCTGTCAGAATTCGTGCCGTGGTTCTCTTCCCCTTCCGACAAGAAGCTCGCCACAGGTAACTTTACCTAACCCCCATCTTCCGGAAATCTTTACCCTGGCTGGAGCATCATTTCCAAGCAGCAAATCTAATTTGTTTAACTCTGTCTCATCGGGATGTGCTGAAGTTAGGAAGGACTGGATTGGTCCAAAGCAGATAGCTTATCCACACCACCCTGCTTTCCCCTGTGAATACCTGCTTTCCCACCACGTCCCTATTCATCCATGATGGTATTGAATTGCTTTTCCTGGTGATGTGTTCGTGTGTGTGTGTGTGTGTGTGTGTGTGTGTGTGTGTGCGTGTTTTAAGCATGTGTTCATGGGGATGTGTGTAGGCAGGTACAGGTGTGTGAGCATGGGTCTAGCGGTCAGAGACAGATGCTGGAGCTCACTGGTTTGGCTAGGCAGGCTGGTCAATGAGCTCCAGGGCCATATCTAGGCTGAGGTTTGAGGAATGAACATTCAAGTGAAAGACACGGCACTGAGCTCAGTGCCTGGGAATTCAGGCAGCTGAAATAAGAATCCTTTATCAAGCTGTTCACTGCTCTTAGTTCCATAGTGTGATGACAGGAGTGGAAGGGGGAAAAAACAAAGGGTCCAAGTGTGCAGAATTTGGAGGAAGTCTCTGCTCGCAGGTCGGGGGCAAGGATTCAGGACTCCTCTGAGGCCTTACCTGTAAGAGCCTGTCATAGGGCTTCAAGCCACCAAGATCACCTGGCCCAGCTGGGCGGATATTTTTGACATACACCCCTTTCTCCAGCAGGCCATCTGCCACACTGAACCCAAAGTCCTCCATGCCCGAATCCTTGTATAAGGTCACCTGGAAGTATGAAAATGTGGAAGTTAGCTGATCGGCAGCCATTTGCTGCTGGAGCGTCTTGGGTGAAGGGGTTTCACAGGCTAATTTCAACCCCATCGTGGACTTGCAATATCATCATTAGACAGCTTCTGCCACCAAGCCCCGCTGCTCTGCCCCTACCCTGGAATGTCCTTTGAATCTGTAAAGTCTAAACCCAAGCTGGCAAAGGAAAAGCAATGAGTCATGTCTTTCTTTTTGGTTGTTTTTGTTCTCTTCCTTTAAAAAAAAAAAAAGTGTGCACAGTGTATTTGTGTGTGTGTGTGTGTGTGTGTGTGTGTGTGTGTGCGTGCGCACGAGCATGTGGTGTGTGCACGTGTGGTAGGTCAGAGGGTAATGTCAGGTACCTTGATATCCTGGTCTATCACTCTCTGACTCATTCTCCTGAGACAGGGTATCTCACAGTATAAACCTGGAGCTTGCCATCTTTCAGCAAGGTTGACTGGCCTGCAAGCCCTAACAATTTAATAATTCTCCTGTCTCCAAGTCAGCCCCTATTCCTTCTTGTCCCCCAACCATCGCTGGGGTTACAGGCATGCACTGCCCTACCTGGCTTTTCCTTTGGTGCTGAGGATCCAAACTCAGGGCCTCGTGATTATCCAGCAAATGCTCTCACTTCCTCTGCCCCCAATCCCCAGACTCACTGCCTCCTCTTTTCAAATTACAGTCATCAGGTATAGGACACGGAGGGTGGGTTGATGTCTAAAATCTCTCTGGAGTAGCCCCCTCCCCCAAGGCTGGGGAGAAGCCAGGGGTTCCTGAGAGGTTGAATAATAAGCCTTTTCCACCTCCCACCAGCCTAGTGCTCTGCTCACTACTCTATTCCATATTCTCACTTTGAACCAACACCATGGATTGCACTGTTCTATTTGCTGAGGCACCCCAAACAGCCTCGTCAACAGAACGCTTTCTAAAGCACCTCCCTGCATCCCGCTTTCTAAAGCACCTCCC